GATTAGCTGTCTGTCAGATGATTACTGCAGAGTTTGCCACTACCTCCGAAACAAAGCAAATATAACTAGTGACTAATCGCTTCATCAGTTTGGGTTTTTTTTTCTTCTCTCAAAAAACATGGTCACCTCAGGAAGGAAGACAACAGTTCCTTTGCAGCTTAGGGCTTTACAGTCTGATTCTAGGAGGTCCCAAGTATCTCTGCTGAAAACTAGAGAAGATAGAGAATTCACATATTTAGAAGGTACTAAGTTGATACAAGTTCAACCTCTGATGAAAAACTTGAAAAAAATATTAGTGTGCTAATAATAATTATCACCAGTGACCCCATGAACAAACTCTTCATCTTACAGGGTGAAATTTACCTTTACTGAATTGTCCACATTTTAAGATATGAATTACAGTGTGCCAAAGCTGCACTCGGAGATTTGGTGAGATCACACCCTAAGAAAACTGGATTTAATAGAAGGACTTTCATATAACTATTTGAAATATCAAAATACTGCATCTATGATAACCTACTTGTGACAGATTTATATTTGTCCTTGAATATTCAGGAAGATTACCTTTTATAACATTCAAAATTCAGTGGTTTATCACTATTTGTTTTGACTTCCTTGAGGTTCCCCTGGGAGCGGACTGAGCATTAGCCCCAATTCAATCCCACACAATTTCCTTGTAAACTCGACAATGAAATATCTTTTTTTTTTTTTAAAAAAAAAAAAGGGGAGTTAAGTAGTTTAGAAGCTCAGTGGACATTAACTCAACTGAGGCTGAAAAAGTAGTCTTAAGGCTGAAATAACTCAAGACCAGAGGGAAAATAAGATCTATGGCTCGTGACTGACATTGCAGCTGAAGCCAGTGACACAATGCTGACTTACATCAGATCAGCATCTAACCCCACTGATTGCTAATTCAGGAAGTGAAGGCTTTTCAGGCTAATCTGTAAAGTTACCTTGACTCAGATGCAGAGTACTGCTGCACTTTGCCTCTGATACGAATATTTTAAATGTTTGCCTAGCCCTCCATAGACATTACCAGTGGTTTATGCTTTTTAATGCCTTTTCATCAAAGTGCTTAACCCATCACAATCTTTGTGGTCCTCTGCCTGTTGGCCTGCCTACAGCTAACTGTTAACTCAGCAAAAAAAAAAAAAAAAAAAAAAAAAAAAAGCAGCATATATGAGAAATGCTGGTTTCTCAGCTCATCACCAATGAGGCAGAAAACGTTTTCAGTTTCAGCTGGAAAACTGATCTCTTTAAAATAAACGAGTGTTTTTTTTCCAGTAAGCAAGACTGGTTACGGTAAGAAGCCTGAAAAACAAGCATAAACGTGTGGTTTTTAAGAAAAATAAAATGTTGTCTCTAACCAATATAAAATGTTGCTATTAAAGTTTGCTATAAGCAACATACATGAAAGCTGCCTTGTTCTTGCCAAAGCAGCAAACTTCAGCAGCATCTCATACACCCGATGAGATTCGGCTTCGGCAGCAGTTGGTATGCAAAACAGGGATGATGGCTTTGGAGCCTTTCTAATATGTGTAATCAGCAGTTCTAAACGTTTCCTTCTTTGGAAAACAGAAAGCAAGTTAGAAATTGGCTTCAGTAAACACTGCTTTTCTTTCCCTGTTGACTATAGGTTAGTTTTGGTGATGTTTTCCATAGTTGTGCGCCTTGCGAAGGAAAACAGCCACTGTGCAGAAAAGGAGTTTCTGGAGAGCTTAAAGTCTCTCTGTTAGCATCAGAAAAATTAATGTGCAGCAGCACCATGAAAGGAAAACAGCAGGTTGCTTTAATTCCAGATAAACAGCAGTAAATTTATATCATTAGAACAGATGGCTTCTTTTTCAAGTTAGATACGGATGGTGCTTACTTTCCTTGACTTAGGTTTACCATGCACCTGGATTTAAAGCAACACAGTAAGACAATTCGAGCCAGGAGCCTGGCTTCTTATCCTGCCTCTCATCCTCAATCCCTCTTTTCCCTTTAGTAAGGTAACTAACTTCATCACCTTCATTTCCCATGCTATCAAGTGAGAACATTTCAACTGTATTTGAAAACATGCAGTTCTACATCAACTCAACAATTAAGTAGGTAATATTAGAAATGGCACAAAAATTAGGAAGAAAAAAGCGTGTTCCCACACATAGCACTGAGGAACAGTCCAGAGTGATATTCATAAGTTTTAAAAAAGAAAATACTCATGCCTGTGCTTGTGAAAATTACTACATGTAACATCTTTTCTTCAGTAGCATTTCACTCAATTTTATGAGGAAATAGTGAAGTAATTATCAAAGAACAGGCAGAGTAAAGGTTAAAGATCTCTTGCATGTATAAAACTAACTTTTTTTAAAAAAAGCGAAGGTGAATCTTCCAATTAATATCCTTGATACTTCCTTTTGCACATGGACCATGACCTAACATATGCAGGAAAAAATGCTGCAACATTTGTTTTAAAACTGTTCCTTCTTTCCTGCCCTAGGACGGATGCCTGTCCACAGCCGTGATCTGCTTCCAGAAGGGCGCATTGAAATTACAACCAGAAAACAGCCAAGTAAATTCAACATTCACCCAAACCATTAGAGTCTTGCAAAAATTCACCTTCAGCGACTCTGGAAAGGTAGGATTTCCTCACACTGCACATAATTGTGATCCTTGCTCCTTGTTTTCTACAGCAGACACCACCTGCAATGGTGGAATTGTAGAAAGCAAACTTGTTAGAAAAACTGATCTGCCTTTCACTACTTTGGAAATGAAAAATATCAAATTTTCTGCACTTTTGGGAGAGGCATCCCTTCTGATCCTATCAGTCAAGCGCACGTATGTACTTGGCAACCACATGATGTGCCAGACAAAAGGACAGGGATTACTGCAAAACATGTCAATGAAACCTGTCATTGCTACATTCTTTCCGTTTCTGAAATAGCCTCTCAGCTTTTCTGTTTTTAAAAGGATTTCGTTACAACCCCCTTGATTTTTCAGTAAGAAATCTTGAAATACTATTTATTATGCTGATACGCTGTTTAGAAGTGGCATGTTTTTCTTTATCTTCCATCAGTGTGAGTCTTCATGTGAATCTTACGAGAAAAAAACTCCCAAAGAGTTTTTGAAGAGCTTTGCAAACCTCATCAAACAGGTAATCAGAGTTGATTCCTCCTGGGTGCTTTTTGATATTTTGCAAACTATTACAGGTATCTTTATTTTACACTATTTCTAACAATGCATTGTTTTTACAGTTAATCAAGAACTAATACAGGACACAGCAGAGCTGAAGGCTACTGAAAACCTACTATTTAAAGCAGACACTATGTTATTTAAGACAATATGAAAAATGTAAATATTTTCCATTGCTGTGTTATGAGTGCGTGGTAAGCGAAAGCTTCTCCCAAAATATTAAGCAGTCTTATTTGGATGGCTATTTGTAAGACAGATGCTGTTTTGAAAGCGATCCTAGCCTCACCTTACAGTGGAAATTAAATTATAATTTCACAAAAATAGGTTCTCTTAAGGGACTTAACTATCACCTTCTGCTGACTAGAAATACATTAGATGGCTACTCCTGTATTTTTGCTTTGATCTTAAAAGAATCTCATACAGAGATGTCTGAAACTTTTTAAAGAAAACAAAAAAATTATCGGAGGCTTTGAAGCCTCAAAAGGTACCTATTTGGACCGATTTCTTTATCTACAACAATACCACACACACAACTTTATTTCTAAGTTCTTAGACTGTATCTCAGCTGACTATGGAAAAATATCCTGCGTTTAACTGTCTTATAAACACTGGAAAAACATTTACAAATCATCCTGTATGGCACAGGTCTGACCTGTGTCCATTTGATGTTAATGGCACCTTTGCCATGGGTTTCAACAGGGAGAGGAGTAACCCTCATGCTCTAAGTGGAGATAGAGGATTCTGTGGGGAAAAACACATTTCAGAAGATGGCATTCCACCTAGACTCCCTCAACTTCACGGGATAAATACAGCAGAGACACGACTGGCTGGGGTGACCAGCCAACAAAAGGTCCAACACATACAGTAGCTGATGATTATTCAGAGTGAAGCAGCTCAAATGCATATTGCCCCTCCTCAGAAGACAGTGTTTTACAGACATATTCATACACCACTAACACTATTCCTTCTCTCTACTCATTTTTACAGTTTAAGTTTTAATTGCATTTTTTTCTTTAAAAACTGTTTTTTCTTATGTGGAAACGTGCCTGTACAGCTTCTGTATCCTGAATGTTTCTGTGGAAATACGGCCAGAGATACCACTGAAACTTTTTAAAATGTGAATATCATAGCACTTAAAAGTAAGTTTTAGCAGCTTAACCATATACCGCCATATTCTGCTTGCTCTAGACTCTTCCACCTGGGAAGTAACTGTCAATTTACCCCCAAACAGACATTAGCCCCATGTGAGGAAACTAATCTTGGAAGAGAGTGTAAAGCCTTCCAGTAAAAATAACCTTTCATCTAATTTTCTCTCTACTTAGTAGAAATGCGGTATAGAGAGGAAACTGGAAGACTACATCTAGTGTTACAATGGAAAAACTACAATCTTAGTTACCTCCAAAAATAACGAGGTAGTATTAAAAATATTTCCATTCCTACCAATGTCAGCCTAAAGGAAAACTAATACAAAAAGCTTTTTTACCTCCACGTTTTTGCTGTCCTGAAACATGAACCACCTCAAAAAACAGAGTCAGAGGAGGAAGATCCTCAGGGCAACAAGGAACCCAAGTTTCCACAGTGAACTCTCCTTGTTTCTGGTGATGACCATTTTGATTTAGATTGTCTTTTTTTTTTCTTGTTTCAAAAACCGCTTTTCCTCTGAGTAGTGTTCTATTTCATACCACAATGTTTCCACATTACTGCATGAGAATTCACATTCTAAACAACTACCACCACTCATGGAAGTAATGAAGCCACCAAGTGTAAAATGATGTTCTGCATCTTTTATCCCTGTTTCTCTGACTTTGCTACTGCTAAAGTCCCTTAAACACCAACTGGTAAGCAATATGCAAAGCTGCTGCTGTGACCACAATGGATTTTAAAGTTAACAGAAGTAGAGAGAGTCAGGGTAAAACTTAATTTCAGATTTAGATAAAAACAACTGGGAAAAACGTTAAAGCAAGTCCTGCAATTGCAGAGTACCTGCTGACGTTTCCACAACGTTACACTTAAATTTTTACAGAGGAGTTTAACTGAATGCCTTTATTACAAACTAAGTGGGTTTTTTGGCGAGTCCTAGAAGGCCAACCAATAAACCAGCACTTTTTATTCACTTCCATGGAATATTTGCATGTGCAGAGTTTTGGGGAAAGAGCTTTAGTTTTGTACAAAGAATATAGTATGTATTTTTTTGATTTGTAAATGTCTTTTCCAGTAATTTGCTAAGGGCATTCAAACCAATATTCTAAAAGAGGCTGTTCAAATTCTTGTGCAGGTGAAATGTGATTAGCATGCCCTAACAAAGAGAACATAGTACAGTACATATTTATTAGTAATCATTATAAAGCATTGAGAAGGAACTTTTGTACCTGGGATGGATATTGTACGACAGAAAAGCCATTCCTACCACAATGTCATAAGCTAACTAGTTACTCCTGCAATGGAACAACTTCTGGGTTTTGTACAGGAGGCAGCATGTAATGCAGTAAGTAATGTAGCTACTTCTGTTTAGTGACTTGCTCCACTGTTCTTAAACTATGGACCTTTTCACACCAAGCATAGTGCTAAAGGGTTTTTTTTGTTGTTTTAAACGCAATATACTCATTTGTTAAATGGGGCTATTTCTTGTACCTGCAGAATAACTTAATTCAAAATGCTCATTCACAGGACACAAAAAACTAGTGAGAAACCGTAACAAATGTAACTTAGAAGGCTAATTGTTCTGAGATCTTGCAGAAAGCTGTATTTATTGGACAATCCTGTCCAGATATGTATGGGGAATATTAATCACAAAATTATGACAGCTGATTTTAGTTAACACCACACTTCAGGGCAGTATCAGCACAATCACCGTGGGCAATTCTGTACACTTCAAATACACTTTGACTTACACGATGCTGAGGCCTTGTGCTCTTTGATTTGTCAGAGTTACGAAAGTTTGAGTGTATTATTCAGACTGTGTTAGTTGAATCCCAAGTGAAGAACAGAAAATCAGTGAAGGCCAGATCAGTCTTCAAGAAGACATCATCCTGTTCTTCGACACTGTTCTCAGGAGAAAACATGAAGATGCCCCAGGAGGGACTTGTGACCCTAGGAAGGACTAGTTATCACAATTCCAGATGTGTAAACAATCTTGACTTATTTTTACTTGTAAGATGAACTCTCTTTGTACAAACTGTATTCTCTGCAGAAACAATGTCTGTTTCGTCAACTGAGTACACAGAGTAAGCCATAAAAGCTCATTACCTCCCAGGGAGGTTTTACAATATATTTATGATTTTAGTCATAAGTGCCCTTTGCAGGCACTTCAAGATGTGTTTTAGCATGCTATATACAATTCTGTGTAATATTTACTTTTCCTGAGAAGATTCTTTATTTTTATACCAATTGACTCATCTAATTTAATTATTTATTGCATTTTTGTGAATGGAATGTTCATACTGCGGACTATGTGGTCTGATTTATTTATACGCCTATGATATTAAATAATTTTAGCTAATATGATTCTCTTCTCTTTTCTTTAAAAATTTTTGACTATTCCTACCTTGACAGTGGCCCATAAGACCCCTCAGTGAACTTGATTCTTTACTAGCCTACACAGTCACTGATTTTGCCAGATCAGATCAGAAACATGGTACACAAAGTTTATTTCCCCCTGTTCTTATGTAACCGTTAAGAAGAGGTCGTTAATTTTTTTATTGTTCCCATCTCATTTGAAAACTTAGTTTAAAAATTGGTTTTTCAAGCTTGATAAATTGTTTTTCGCAAACTCACAGCAGGTTCAATCACGTCACCTATATTTCCTTAGACTGACATGAACAAAAATCAGGTAACTTCATGTTTTGGTCTACACAGAATAAAGTCAAACACCTGAAAATGTAACTGTAGAAGTAACAATTTTCCAGTCTGTTCTTTACTGTTCTCCTCATCTTACTTTTCTCTTGCTTTCAAATGTCAATCCTTTTTCCCATCCCAATTTGACAGGATGTGTTGAAGCCCTCAAAAAAATGTGTATTTTTAGCTATTACACTTTAGGTCAGCTATGTTTTATCTTTTTTAAAAAATGCCTTTTCCCTAAAACATGGACTTTGTTCAAAAAATAGACTTTGTTCCAACAAACAAGCACAAAGCTCTAACAAAGCCAAAGACTAAACAGTTGAACAGCTATTCCTTCCCTTTTCATGTCTTCAGAAAACACCAACTCAAATAGTATCTCCTTCCATAATGTCTCCTGTTATCACACATCTGCATTTGTTGGACATAATTTTCTTAAAAAAAATTAAAATCCTTCATAAATAAATAAAAATAAAGAGGAAACACTGGAGACTTCAGGCATAAACTGCTCCTATGTCCAGAACAGAGGTTGATGTGCAGGACAACGCTGCTATGATCACTCTGCTAGAAGACAAGCAGTCCTGCTCAGCCCAGTAGGTATTTTCCTCTCAAGAAAAGCCTGCAGACTGACTCCCAAGGGGCTGGATGTGCCAGTTGCCTTCTGTTGGCTCTCAAATAGTTCAGGGGTGGCGGACACCTGAATTTGCAGCCCAGATCACCTTGTAAAAGTGTTTGCAGGGAAGAGCAAAAGGACAGGGTCTAATCCAAGCAATCCCTCCTGTCTTTGCACACAAGAAACCAGTGAGAGTCAGGTACACTGGGATTTACCCAGAGTTAACTATTAGGCAAATCTGAGCCATCTGTCCACTCAATGAAAAGAAGTGGACATACTCAGGAATAAGTCATCCCACTTCAAACCAGGTATGTAATATAGGTGACTGGAAAAAAGTACAGAGAATAGTTCTCACTCGAATAACTACATATTTGATGCTTATATACTGGGTATGATGAACCTCACTCTGGGATTTAAGTGCAAGCTAAAACATTCAGAATACTTTCTGTGGCTGATGCAATATCTCCAGGTGCATGTTTGTTAAATACACTATAGCACCTCTTTCCTGGTATAAAATATTTAATTTTGCACATATGCACTGCTTTTATTTCTTACTTGCATCTCTCAGAATTTCCACCTACAGCTACAATCAGATTAGAAAATACAGGAAAGAAAATATTTGGAGTAGAC